CCCCCAGCGCGCGCCCGGCGGCCTCCCCCCTGCAGGCCGAGGCGAGGCCGCCACGTGGGCGCTGTCCCGCAGGGAGCAGCCCGTTCGGACGCTCGCGCTGCGGGCCTCTCCGCGTGGTCCGCGGGCCTGGGACATCCCTGAAGTCAAAGTGACGTTCCTCGTTTTCACTAAGGTTTTTGCCATAGGGCGTGTGTGCTCGCTGGAGAAAAGCAGTGAGAGGGAACGTGAGAGCCCACACACACACACACACACACACACACACGGCCACTCTCTCGTCGCCTCTCCCCTTGGCCTTCATGCCCTTCTTGGGCATTCTGGGCAAGCATATGCCTCCCGGTGATTTTCAAGCCAAGTGTAGACTAGAACCAGGTAGGCCAGTCCACACCACCTGCAGGCCCCAACATTGGTAATTCAAGTGATATTCTCATTCCGTTTTCACTCACATTCCAGAGCGTGCAGAGGATGTATTGAAAACAACTGACAAAGTTTGTCATCACTGATAAACTCAAGATTCAAGTGGAAATTAGAATTTTGAAGACTGTGTGTCTACCATGAATCGATCATTTCCCAATACATAGGCCTGGTCTGGTAAGATGGATGGTGAGGCCCAGCCATGGTGGCTCAGGGTGCCTTCACTGCTCAGCGCTGGGGCTACATAGGAGGCCTAGGTTAAGATCCTGCACTGCCCGGTGAAACCTTGCTGAGAATACCTCACACGCATACACGTATTCTCCCTCCCTCTCTCTCTCTCTCTCTCTCTCTCTCTCAAAAGAAAGAAATAGGGGCCAGCCCCCTAGGCCAGTGGTTAAGGGAGCCAGCTCCCATATGACTGACTGCAGTTTGAACACCAGCAACTTGAAAAACATACCATGTGTGTAAACCCCAATCCCAACAAGATGGAGAATAGGGATTATGGGGTGTCTACACCCCACGTTGGAGGAGTGCTTTCTCTCTCCTGTCTCTAGTGAGCACATATGCCCTCTGGCAATTAAACAAAAAGAGAAAGAAACTTGGAAAAACGAGTGGCTGATGATATTAATTAATGTTATTTTTGATATTGTATAATTAAATGTGTCAACTTTGGGATGATATAACTCAACGAACCAATATTTTTCTAGATGATCCATGCATAATGTTATAAACCTATACACAGGCAAAAGATACATTTAAAGTGCTTTGATGGGGCCAATAGTTGACATGGTGGTTGAGGCTCTGAACTCCCACATGGCCAACTGTGGTTTGAGTCCCAGACCTGGCAGCTTGCCCTCTCACTTTCCCTCTCTGTCTTGCCCTCTGTCTCTCTCTGATCAAATTAAAATAATAATAATTTAAATAAATAATTCTTTAAATTTTTTAAATAAATTGAAATGACAAGACATAGACTGAAAAAAATATGAGTCATATATGTGATAAAGGGCTTGTATGCAAAGTATACAAAGAATGCTTATAAGTTAGTAATAAGACTAATATTCCCATTTTAAAAAGAGGTAAGAAGTTGAATAGATATTTCACCAAAGAGGATATATAAATGGTTAATAAGCACTTGAATAGATGGTCAACATCAGTAGTCATTAGGAAACTATGTATTAAAACCACATCATAAAAATCACATTATAGCAAGACCAGCAGATGGTGTGGAGGTTACAACGCTGGGCTCTCACATAGTCAACTGCAGTTTGAGTCCCAAACCTGGCTGCTTAATACTCACAATGGGGATCAGCAGGTGGCACGGTAGTATAAAGCACTGGACACTCCCACTTCGGACCTGGTGGCTTGCTTTCTCACTTTCCTTCTCTCTGTGTGTCTGTCTTTCTCTGATCAAATGAAAATGACTGACTGAATAAATAAAATTAAATCAATAATTCTTTAAAAAAAAAAAAAAAAAAAACACGGGGCATGAGTGCATGTGTGCCCAAAATCCTTAGAGGAGAATGGAAGAAAAGGGATTGAGGCATGGCCATCTCCCCTGGGGGATGATTTCTTGCTTTCTGTCTCTCTGCCCGTGTCTCTGGTGAGCATGCCCCAATAGCAAAAGTCAAAAAAAAAAAAAACCACATATCACGTATATGAAGGTTCATGTACACGAGAAAGAATAGAAATAAAAAGGAAGGATGGGAAACTGGTGAGGAGATACTTGAAGATATTTGGGGGTGGAAGTGCAGCATGTTTTCCATTCGCTCTTCCAAATCCACTCTCTGCTCTCAGGAAACTCTCCAGACTGAGAGGCAGGGCCTAGAGAAGGAGACATCCTGGGGAGTTCTGAGGACTGACTCCAAGGGTGGGGATTTAGACGACTTTAAAGAATACAGTTCCACCCTCATGCCCAAGGGGGCGCCAAAGGATCAAGCCCCAGTCTGCCCATAGACGTTCTCAGCCTCTGACTCTGGGTCATTGCCCTGGATTCTTTCACTTCTGATCCAGGTTCTTTAGAGACCAGGACTCTGTATTTCTTCCCTTTTGTTTTCTTCCTTGAGAAGAGCAGAGAATTTGCTTCCAGGTGGCTTCCTTTTAAGTCTGAAAATTGTGGCAGGAAGAGCCAAGTGAGGCCTGTTGACTGTCTCCAGGGGAGAGGTAGCAGTTACAGCCAAAAGAAACGGCCCGAAGAAGAGCTTTTTCAGAATGACACATGCTATTTTCTTCCTCTCCCTCCATGACTCAGATTCACATTTCACAGAGACCTTTGCCTGTGTTTTCTTTCCTGTGCCTTGACTGCCAGCCAACAGACTGTGTCCACAGTGTTTTCCCACTCCTCTGCCCAGGCTCAATCAATCTGGTAAAAACGTTAACTGGAAGAGATCTGGTTTACCAGGTCAACTCCTCTACAACAAATATCTTCACAATGAAAATCTCTACTTAACCGAAAATTCTCCACAGCCCAATTCATGTCTAACATATCTCAAGCCCATGAAACAAAATTCTTCCCATGCCATATATTGGACAGTGCAGTGGAGCTGCTTGTAAAAAGATTTGACCTGTAATACTTTTCTTGTCCCCAAGGATCTTAAGAAATAAGACCAAAAACAGAGTCCCTTCCATCGTTGGAGAGCATTTTCCCACATGCATTCATTTTTTTAAAAACTCCAGTTCCCAGGAAATCTTTGTATGAACTTCTCCCCCTAGTCTACCAGACCCCATAGTCTATCCAGACTGGATAAGCAGGCAGCTTCCCAGAAGGCAACGTGGGAACTTAGCGTTCACGCAGGCGCTGATCCAGAATACTGAAGGAAACCATCAAGGGATCAGAAATGAATCCCAGGAAAGACGCGAAGTAACCTTCCACAGAGGCTTAGTACAGTTGAAGCCTGAGGCTGTACTCGTGTTCTAATGAAAATCAAGCCTTGAAAACCCACAGTACCTAAATCATGTGGTGGAATTCCTTGCGTCAACAGTTTTTATGTGCTGCTAAGAGCAAGTGGTTATATAAAGCTAAAGAGCATTATTGCTGGGGGACTCCGTTTTCTCCCTCTCCCAGATTCAGAAATTAGAAACGTGCATTTCAGAAGAATTGTGAATAGAGCATATTTTTACCTTCCAGCTATTTCTCTCCTCAGTTCTCCCCCAAGGAAGGGGTGACTCATCTGACTGGGCCACTGAGGAAGGAACTAAGCGTGTTAGTCTCCTTTTTCATCCTTCTTGGGCTAGCCTGGCCATGAAACAGGTTCTCTTCCCACTCAGCATGCGTGCGCGCGCACACACACACACGCACACTCCTGCCTCCCCAGAGGGCTAGGAGGCAAATACTAGGAAGTGTGATTATGACTTCTCCCTTTGACCCCTCTCATCAAAAATGATACTTTTCTCTCCATTTGTCTGATTCTTGTGATTATTTCTCAAAAGGTTCTGAATTCAGAAGTTCCTAAGATGTATTGGCCTCTTGAAAGCCCCCAACTTAAGACTTCGGTAGCCCTGCCTGTGAAAAGTTTGAAAACCAGCAGGAGATGCCAAAAAATGGCTAGCAGGAGACTAAATTCATTGTATGCCCTTGAGCACGGGTTGAGCTCCTCATCAGGAAAGGAATCCCCCTCTGGAGAGAATGCAGTTTAAGAGGCAGGCACTGGGGACAGGGAAGAAGGAAGGCAGGCTCCACTTCCAGAATCCCTCGCTGTGAAATGTCAAGTAGTGACAAGATTCCCAGATAGGGACCCAGAAAACTTGTATTGAAATCCTAGTATTGGGACCAGCAGTTCACGGAATGGCTATATTGCTGGACTCCCATGTAGTTGACCATGGTTTGAGTCCCGGACCTGGTGGCTTAAACTCACACTGGGTGTGTGTGCATGCGTGCCCAAGATCCCAAGAGGAGAATGGAGGAGAAAGGATTGTGAGGTGGCCATCCCCCCTGGGGGATGATTTCTCGCTTTCTATCTCTCTGCCTCTCTCTGTCTTTCTGGCGAGCGCACGCGCCCTATAGCAAAAACCTCTCCAAAAATAAAATGTAAAAATCCTAGTCCTTATCAGAGGGATAGCCTTTACCACTTCGAGCTACTTTGTTTCTCTATCTGCAAATGAGCAAAAATATCCTCCCAGAACCAGCCAATGGTGTAATGGTTACATCACTGGACTCCCACCTTGTCGACCGTGATTTGTGTCCCAGAGTCCATGGCTTAAAACTCACACCGGGCGCATGTGCATGTGCGTGCCCAAAATCCCAGGAGGAGACCATCACTCCTGCGGGGTGATTTCCCGCTTTCTGTCTTTCTCTGTCTCTCTGCTGAGTACACATGCCCTCAAGCAAAAATCTCTCTAAAGTATGATCAAAAGAATAAAAGTCCTCCCCTCCCCACTTATCTTATAGGGTTGCTGGGAGAATCACATTATATCATTCTATGAATGCTTCTGTACACCTGAGAGAATAGAAAGAAAAGTTATCACAGTAGGAAATACCAGGGAGGAGATATTTGGGGTGGAAGTGCTGCATTATTTTCCAGTTGCTCT